ATCGCTCAAGATTTCAAGACCGATCTGCGTTTCCAGTCGTCGGCTCTGAATGGCTCTCCAGAAGGCCTCTGAGGCGTAACTCATTGGTCTTTTCAGAAACGAATACATTCAAAATCATATTGAAAATAAATATTTTGTTGAATAAATGTATATTATGGCGTGTTGATTCGGTATTGTGTTGAAATGAGTCAAGAAGAAAAAGTCCACTAGTGTGGTGAGGAGTGAGCATGTGGGAGCGGGGGTGATGTTGAGCGCATAGTCGGTTTTGGGGTCCCCGCGTGGATACCCGGGCCAAGGTGTATGCAAGGGGCGCGTCGAAGAGAGTTGGTATCTTGCTCGTGAGTGCAGCAATCGAGCCTCAAGCCGGCAATCCATCGTCTCGCTGGTAGGGGTGGAGTGAAACGTATCTGTGGTCTGATCTACGAGGAGACTCGTGGAGTTCTGAAGGTGTTCCTTGAGAATGTGATCCGTGATGCGGTCACCTACTGTGAGCACGCCAAGAGAAAGACCGTCACCGCCATGGACGTCGTCTACGCCTGAAACGCCAAGGACGTACCCTGTACGGTTTCGGAGGATAAGAAGAAGCTCTCGCCCACGAGACTCACTTGTAAAACTAACCCAACGGCCCTCTTTAGGGCCACAATTGAAACGTGAACGAATACAAACACATTGAAGTATTTGCTTGAATAAATGTTTTCTATTGTTGTATTAGTTTGTGTGATGAAGAGGTATGATCAACCAGGGGTGTGCACATAGGTTGGGGGATTCTGTTTTGTCTCCAATGCAGAATTACGGACGATGTGATGTGCTTTATACACATGCACACAATGTCGTATCATACAAGTACGCACACTAATAAATTCGATAAGCACAATAATAGGAAATAAGCACCCACAATAATAGAGAAATAAGCACAAAATAATGAAAAACACCCATCTCTCATACACACACTTACACGCCATGCTAATACGCACACTGATTTGTTCATCAAGAATAATCACGCGAAAATGTCGAGCTGAACATAAGAAAATGGAGGAAGACTCGACTCCCATCTATACACACACTTAAACATCACATTAATACACAAAACAACTTATTGAATAAAAACGAGCACACAAAAATCAAGAATTGCGCAAGAAGAAAAGAAAAACTTCCGTATCACTCACATACACGCACTCCGCACATCAATATAACACACAAAATAACATGATCAATAAAAATACCTCGACAAAAATAGAGAACTGTGCACCATGAAAAGAAGAATACACCGAAAATGTGAAAAACGGCGAGAAAAAGAGCATACCTGCACGGTTTCGTTGCGTTTCGAGAGAAAAATCATGAAAG